GGCATCTGAATTCGACCACAGATAATGGAAAGTATCGCTGGGTTCCAGCCCATGCTGTGCTAATTGGTCATCCCCGCCTCAGCGTTTGAAGCTTGGGATAAGATGAGGAAACAAACGTTGCGGAGGGGCAGGTAATGCATGAATCCTCTCCATGCCACCAGTATGACGTGACCCCTGTTCGAACAAGCGTAGTGTGAGAGGAACACGACCGATCCGGATTGATCTTTAATTGAAGCAAGTGGCCTCATAGAAAGCTCATTGGGGTGGCCTCAACAGGGGTCAACTCCAATTGACATTCTTAGCAAATGAAGCGTCCTCTTTTACGATTTAGAGGACTCGATGTACCAGGGGCCTAAGTCCAAAGCCGACCCGAACCGGTTTCCAGCCTGCCTTTTCTGAGTCTCCCCCAGTGAGGACCATCAAAGAGGGACAGAGCACGCGCGCATGGACCTCGTGCCATCAGTAAGACGTGGCCCTCCTCATGAACTATTGTAAGCTGAGAAGGACACGATTGATGGGGGATCGATCTTATCCAAGCAAGTGGACTCATGACAAAAGCTGTTGGAGTGGACCCGATCACGGTCGGCTTCAACTGGCAATCTGAGCAGTTCAATCGCCTCTTCGATCGAGTACAGTGTAGACATTTTACTGGGAGCCTTTCTCCAGGAGCGGGGGCAACCCGTTTTACACTTCTAAGTGAGTCGACAGATCTCAACGCGCTAAATATCTGCGGAAGCGCCGCCTGGCCGCCTATCGGAGTGCTTTGAAGCATGCTACAAACTTCGTTTGTTTAACTGCAAGGACCGGCATATCGGAAGCGGCGCTTGTGGGCGTCAAATGCTAAAGTTACGGTCTTTACTGAGCAGTAAGCCCAGATCCTATTCCATCACCGCCGTTTGTGAAACCCACCTTCAGTCAGGGTCGCCAACAAAAGTGCGAGGGCTGGACAGGAAGTAGAGGACAATGCGCATAGCAAAAAGTCTCAAAGTGTTACGGAAAGTTTTAGCGCGTCGAATCACGGCCTGAGAGCCAAGCCATGTGTCAGCGGAACGGTGTAACAGCAAGAACCGGTCAAAGGTTGGATTGCCAGTGAATCGATTGTACATGTCACGTAAGACGGGTTTTTCACCCAAGTCGAGAGGGCGAGTAACACAATTACACCAGCTTCTTTTGTAAGCGCGGCCTGCCGTGCCCGATGTTTAGTTACTCATGTCAAATCCATTCCTCGTTAGCCAAAAGACAGTCCAGTCCGGCACCATCGGCGTACAACGGCGTACGTAAGCAAGTGGACGCAATTGAGCCCAGTACTGCCATCGCAGAAACATCATTGCCGGAGACACTGATCACTAGCCTTTAATTATGCAGACGAGTACCAAACAAGAAACGTTTGACGTGGCACGCGGACAAGGCGCACACACGACCATCATCCAAGAGAACGTTTCCCTACCTTGCATTTGCACCTAATCCCCTTGCCGTTTCCAGCGACCGAAAGGCAGCCAGTCTGGGGAACCGATTGCCAAGAACGTTTCGAGCTCTAAGGCGACAGAAGGTAGGAAGGAGAAAAGATGATGCCGGGCAAGTACTGGAGCCGAAAGAACTGGTGCTGCGGTCTCCGCCGTATTAGTCTAGCTGACGGAATCCAACACGTTTGGTTGACAATGCCATACATGCGGCTTAAGAAAAGCGCATGAGCTTTTGAGACCTCCTTACTTCAGAAAAATAATGAGCCCAGTGAAGGTCCCTTCTGGCAATGGCATCGGGGTCTTCTCAATCGTATGGCTCAATTCGCCACCAACTTGAAGGCTGAAACACGACCCTTCCATCCCTGCCACTGATCGTAATTTTGAGTACTTCTTGAGCCAAAAAGTCACAAACGGAAGAACACATCCATCAGATGGACGAAAAAGCTCCACGCCTGCGAGGGCAGAAACATCATTTCCACGGTCGGGAAGTCTAGATGCAGATGAATACTGACAAGAAAAGGTGACGTGGCACCTGGGCACAAGGCGCGCGGCCGACGAGCATGCCAGAGAGCGTTAGCCCGACGTGACATCTGGCATAAAACTGACCCACGTGCGGATTCGATCGGGCGACCCAAAAGCAGCCAACTCAAGCAACCGATCGCCCAGAACGTCTCGATCTGTAAGGCATCGGAAGATCGGAAGGAGAAAACTTTATGCCAGGGCTGAAGTACTGGAGCCGGAAGAACTGGTGCTGCCGTCTCCGCCATTCTAGTCTAAGCTGACGCTTCAACACATCTAGTTGACCATGCAAAACACGAAGCTTAGGAACGGCGCTTGAGCTTTTGGGACCTCAGTAATTCTAGGATGCATAAGCCTCGGGTCGACGGTTCTGTCTGACAATGGCGTTGGGATTCTTGACGACCGGTGGCTTCGATTCGCCATCAAAGCTGAAACGCGATGTTCGTCCTTGCTACTGATCGTACTTCTTGAGGTTTTTCGAGCCAAAAAGTCACAAACGCAGACTGCGCAAAAAACGAATCTCCCACCAAACACGGCAATAAGTACCGAGCCACGTCATGCATACCATACGGCAGTGACGGGGATATCATTTAATACCATACGGGTATTGACGGGCCGGATTGCACAAGTCTCCGTCAAAGACCATAAGGAAAGACAGGGGCCTTGGAGAGGAAACTAGTCGAGGGTCGACTGCTCGCGCACAGCTCGCGCCGTAAAGTCGTCATAGGAACACTTTATGCTCAGCTCTCACAACTCGACCATACCAATATGGCGCGCGCAGCTCTGCGCAAGCTAGCTCGGCTCGGGCTCAGGCTAGCTGCCAAAGTGCTGCCGTTGCAGTCGCGGGTTTCAGTGCACGCGCCCGAGACCACGACTCAACGCGCGCCCGCGGCCGCTTTATCGGCCACTGCTAGTTGCATCGCGACCGACATCGCGGCTCAAGCGTAACAGCACCCCGACAAGCTCAGGGCAGGTATCAAGTAGACTTGGATTTGTTCTCCTTCTAGGGAAGACCAAAACATGAATTTCAGCGTTTCCGACGCAAGAAAAGCCACTTTCTAGATGTCTGGCTACCTCCCTAACTGACCGGCAATTCAGATTTGGATGAAGGATAGCATGGGCCAAACCCACTTTTGACGTCCTCATGGCCGGCGGAAGTGGGCACATGGATGTAGAACCAACCACGACTTTTCGCTGTAACCAATCAAACATACTGTGGTGAACCTCTATTCAGCTGAATGTTCAAGGAGCGGAGCGGTTTGACATAGCCAAGCGGACGATGAAAAGATGCGAGAAGCGAGCCCGAACAGAAGAGAACAGCAGCAAGTTTAGAGAGCCACCCGTTCTCGGAACAATGTCGAATGATTCAGTCAAATGATTGAGCGGACTCGTCAACGAGCGGGAGAAAAGTGTTAGCCGTCACGATTGCTTGCAGTGTTGCCTAGGATACTGCGCTTGATGCGAAGTGGCCAAATTAATTGGCGGTTGACGCGCAGACTGCTCAGAGGACACAGCCGACAAGAGAATGGACCGAGGGGTGAGGAGGACGGTAACGAAGCGGGACTGACTCAAAAGAAGCCGAATGATCCGGGAGAGGAATGGTCATGAGCAACAAAACCGAGCGACTTCATTGAACACGCTGTGATGTTGTCGCCAGCGGATTGAGATCCTGAAGGTAGTGCCTGGCCACGATCATATCCACAGCCGGATAGACTACGCGTCGCACTACGACGCAACTCACTGGCATGCTTATTCAGAACCGTGACTGTGCAACGAACAAGTTGTGGCCCGCCCATCCATTGTTCAAAGCAATGATCTGCTCTGAGATCGGACCGGTGACCTTGCACGTAGCGTTGACAGGACCGCTGCAGAGTAAGCTAGAAGCTGCAAACGCAGCAACTGGAATCAGAAGGGACAAGGCCGGCATCGTAACTCAGATTCCATTCACGCTTGGGCCAAAGCCCATTCACAAGGATTGGAGTAATTTCTCATGGCCGTGCCGAAGCGATGGGGAGTGACCTGCGGACTTCACCCGGCCAGCATCAAAGCATGTAGCGCGTTGAGCAAAAGTTCACAAGGCAGACAATCACTGCCGCATCGGCAAACCGCAATTTATCGCCAAGGAATCAATTGTGTATCGGCGCCCTTGCAAAGTTGAAAGTCAAGTCCACCTAAGCAAGAAGCGAGCTCGATTGCACGTGCGGCGTAAACTTAGATTCAAGACAGATTGGTCGGAGTTGACCACGAAGCAGATTTGGTTGCTAAGCAACGGAACAAGGAACCGCGGCCACTCATGTGCTCATTTGAGATTTGCCGACGTGAATAATCATGGTAAACCGATATTGCAAGCACTGAGTGCCAGACCGTCACTAGTGAAACATATATGAGCAGCAAGTTGATCGAACTTCGGAACTGTATCATACTGAATTGGTACCATTATACTGATCCTTCACCAAGACACAAAGCAAAGGGTGGCGCGTGATAAAAAAATCACCCAACTGAATCCTCACCGTCTGAGTCAAGCTAGCAACAAACTTAGTCACTCGGCTCATCGATCCGAGCCTGCCCTGAATCTGAGCGCTGGGCTATCAATCAACCGTACTCATAAGACTAGCTTTGCAGTGGTGCAATGATGCTAGAGGCCCCGATTGAATCGCATGATACGGGGTGGAAACAAATAGGTGCGGTCAGCTCCGCGCCTCCATGAATCATTGAAGTGGCGGCCGCGCCGTCACTCCAACCACTTCAACAGAAGACGGCCGTCCGCCGGCAAAGCGCCTTGTTAAGACGCAAACTTAGGCAAAAGAAGCTGGTGACCGTCACATCGAGGCCGTCTCTCGCAAGAAGAGTAACAGCCTTCTAGCACTGATGCATGAAAGCAAACTCGGTTCAAAGCGGGAAAGTAAGGACTGATGCCGTGTTGACGAACGCTTGAGAAAACGCGTCCCTTTTGTCACACCAACTCAGCACTCTTCAGCAATTTTCAGCAATCAGAGGTGATAGACGCGGAGATTGCATGGCATTTGAAAATGGTTTGTCTTTGAACTGTTCAAAAGAGTGGCCGTACCCCGCACTTAGGGGCCGGCTGCTTATCCACGGGACTGTAAGTTCCGACTCGTCTCCAGTATCTTCTGGCGTGCGAGTCCCGTTGCTTGGAAATATTGTTTATATTGCAACTTGCCAACATTCCCAGGCTTTCCCTCGATCATGAATGAGGCACAGCTGCTTCGAGACCTGGCCTACGGAAGTTCGTCGACCGGAACTCTCAGTGGATCCGACCGATCTATTCTATTCCGGACCCCGTGACCAATGTACACGCCAGTAACTTCCAGCAACTATTCCGTGCTTTACATGCCTGCTCTATCTTTGCCTCAGTCTCCATGTGACCTTAGTCACTCCCCGTAACCAACTTCTTAACAGTATTCAGACTGACGGGCGCCTTTTAAGGGCCAGTATTCGCTATACAAGTTCTCTTTACAGGGTTTCCTAGCTAGGCAGAAGAGTCACTGCACCAATCCTTTTTACACTCCCTCGTATACGTCACACCCACGGATCGTTTCCATCTCGTAGCACCCTCATAAGCGGGCAGCTCTGCCCATAAGCGGCCAGCCCAGCCCATACGCGGATCGCCCAACTGCTACTCGCAAAGCTGACCAGACGCTCCGCTCTTCGATCCTAAGCGCACAGCCGGCTAATAAGCGCAGAGATCGACCTGTAAGCGCTAAACCTGAACCATACGGACACAGCAGTTATTGTATAAGCTCACGCCGTCACGCCAAACTCCGCCAGCTCCGCCTTGACCCGGGCGTGGTAAGTCTCGTCCGGGTACCCGTGCTGTGCCGCGCCGCCGTACGGGTGTGTCTTGTGGTGAATCCCCGACCAAACAACCTGGTTAAAAAGAACCGGGGTTTGTCAAACCCGATTGCATTTACGTTTGTTGCTTTCAACAATTATGATTCTTGATTTTTTAGTAGGTACCCGTGCTGTGCTGCGCCCATACGGGTGGGTCTTGTGGTGAATCCCCGACCACACAACCTGGTTAAGGTAATCTAAGGTTTGTTAGACCCGTTTGCTTTTACCGAGTTTGTTCTGAACAATTATGATGTGTAAGTTCATTGGCGGGTACTTGTGCTGCGCCGCGCCTTCGTACGGGTGCGTCTTGTGACGACATTCCGACCACACAACCTAGTTAAGGATACTGAGGTTTGTCAGACCCCTTTGCTTTCACTGTTTTTGGTTTCAATAAGAGAAATTCAGGATTTGTCGGCGGTTTATTGTGTTGTGCCGCGCTTCCGTATCGGCTAGTCTTGTGATCAACTTCTATGTCTGAATCACGGAAGAAGAATGTCAATCCAATTTCGGGTGAACTTGTTGTGACGCTGACCTCCCAGTTCCGACCGTTCGTCTGTGATCGCCCCACTGTGAAGAAATGCTCTCCGCTTGGTGGCTGTCTGCAGGATCCTGATTCCCCGCACGGAAATAAATCCCACTTTGCTGAAGGTTCCGACGACGTGAGTTCTCAAAGTGTTGTACAGTTGAGCAACGCTGACCTGGTTATTCCGCCCGTTTGTTTGTGACCGGCTCCCTTCGCTTGAAGGCCATCTGCAGGATCCCGCTTCGACAAACAAAGATTCGACTTTCTTCCCTGGCAGTTGCCTGGGAAGAACCTCACAAACCTTACAAAGCTCCAAATTCAAGTGGCCCTGACCTGGTTATCCCGCCCGGTTGTCTGTCAGCGCCCGATGTGAACGTGACGCTTGAAGGCCGTCCGCAGGAGTCCCGGTTCCGCGCACACCAGTCAAAGTAAGTTTACGGAAAGTTGCAGAACTCAACTCTTTTTGATATTTATAATCTAAGCAAGGCTGACCTGGTTATCCAGGCCACCTATGTGTGACCGGCTCCCTGTGAGAAGATGTCTTCGCTTGAAGGCCGTCTGCAGGATTCCCGCTCTAACATACAATGTTTCAATCTCTCTCCACTGACAGCCGGGAACTTTCGACCTTACAAAGCTCCGAGTCCAAGCGACGCTGACCTGGTTATCCCGCCGTCTGTCTTTGACCGGCCCGCAGTAAACGTGAGCCGCCGCTTGAAGGTGGTACGCGAAAGTGTTCGTTCCGCGCACAACTTTCAAATCCGTTTTTGCTGGAAATTTCAGGGGTGTCCTAATTTTGAGCAACGCTGACCTGGTTATCCGCCCGGTTGTCTGTGACCGCCTGACTGTGAACGCGAGTCGCCGCTTGAAGGCGGTCCGCAGTAAGTCCCCGTTCCGCGCAAAAAATCTCAATTCTTTTTTCCTGAAAGTTTCAAGGGTGTCCCAATCTCAAGCATGCTAACCTGGTTATCGCGCCCGGTTGTCTGTGAGCGCCCGACGGTGAACGTGAGTCGCCGCTTGAAGGCGGTCCGGAGGAGGGCCAAAACTTCCCGCCCCTGGGCGTCGTCTACCAGGTACGCCACCCGGTTGGTACCGGAGTAGTGGGTGCCCGGGTTGGGGTGGTTGGGGCCCTGGAAAGAAAAGGGAATGCTCTCAACTCAGGAACAGACTATGCTCACAGCTCTTGATTAAAGAAGTGGGTTTGCGGTGTTTGGGGCTCTAGTCAAATCTAATCCTGCTGGGTAAAGGATTTGCGAAGGGTGACGGAAGCTTTAGCGGTACTATCTTCTACCAGGTACGCCTCCCGGTTGGTACCGAGGAATGGGTACCCGGGTTGGGGTGCTTGGGGCCCTGGGAACATGGGTTTTCCATGTAACTAGAAGGGGGACTCAAAGGTCTGGATTTGAAATTAGTTTTCAAGGAGGTTTCGATCAAGGGTTAAGACATCCTCAGCTCTTGAAGCAGGACTGGACCTTTAGAGGTTGGAGCTCTTGGAACAAAAATGCGTCTGGATTCCGGCTGGATGACACTGAAAGTTCGGCGGCAAAAGAGACCCTTTGAGCTGGTTCGGGCAGAAATCATGAAGCGCCAGTAGCATTTGGAGGTTAGGCTGCTCACAGATGAGGGTAGAGTTAATCTGGGCTTTGGGACGAGGATTTTGCCCCGGAGCCCCAGTTTTAAAGACGGGTGGTTGCAAAGAAGCTGAGAGTTGCGAGATTGATTACCTGGACCCCATGCGGGAAGCTGTAGTTGATCACTATGACGCCACTGCCCTCGTGGCCTTCCAGCGCCACGCACGCGTGCTTCGCCTGCGGTGCGTTATGCAGCCGTTAAAGGGGGCGCTGGATGCCGCAGATTGCGCACTCGATGACTATGTGTACTTTTCTCATGGAGTATTTCAAAAATTCGCGAAAATCGGCCCCTCAAATCCGCAGGTCGCCCAAGTGGTGGACAAATGGGTCCTACGCCCAATGTGCAGCACTGCTCGGTGAGCGGCAGTGAGACATAAGAGTCATAAGGTCCTCTAGTATTACGACTCGAATGTGTTCAAGGGCGCAGAAAAAGGCGAGGCTTGACATTCAAACGCATTCCGGACGATGCGAGACTGGATAAGGGCGGAGCTTCAATGATGACTACTGACACTGTTGCAGACTTGCAGAAAGCGCAGATGCTCATAACCGTCTCGTCAACCTTCTGGTTTGGACGCAAGTTTTGAACGCAAGTACTGCCCACCTGCTCGTAAGTGTACGTTTTTACGGTCAAGGTTCCGTTCTCCGGCTGGTTCCCCGTCCGAACGCCGTACGCCCGCATGCACGTCGGACACTTGGGCTTCTGCGCGAAGCACTTCTTGATGCACTCCAGGTGGTACTCGTGCCTGCGAAGAAGGGTTGAATCTTTCAGAGCCACTGAAGGCCAGACTTTCGGTATCTTCTGCATCCGTCAAGGTTCAGTGCTTGACGTACTTGCATTTTGCGAAGCACTTCTTGATGCACTCTAGGTGGTTCTCGTGCCTACGGACAATACACAGAATAAAGCGTCCGAAATGGCATCAAAAGTTTCAGGGTCAAAATTGTCCACGTCCATATGCGTGTCGCAGACTTAGGCGGTTGCTCTCGAAGCACTCCTTGATGCAATCCAGGTTTTACTCGTGCCTGCGGACCAGGTTCGCATCCGGCGCAAAATCTATCCGTGAATTTTGGACCAGACGTCCAATGCACGCCGGACGCTTGAGCTTCGGACAAAACAGTACCCAAGCAGGTAGAGCACTACGAATCAAACCACGGGGGCCTTCCTGTGGATAGGCTAGATTTGGTCACAGATAGTTCCGAACCGTCCGCAAGAACGAACGTCCACAAACCTGCGCAACAATTAAAAGGCACCTAAATGTGCAAGACAACTCACTTGCACAGCATGAGCCGCACGGCCGGCTTATCCCGCAGCGATTCGTAGCACACGACGCAGTCTTCATCGTCCGGGTTCTTGATTGTCCGGAGAAGTGATGGGTGTACGGAGCCGTCCATTGGGAAATCGACGGCCGAGAGCGGGGCCTCGTCTTCATCTTCGGGCTCCTTGGCAGAGGAGGTACTTGGGCTAGATGGACCTGCAGGAATAGTGGGTGCTGGTTTACGATGCGAGCAGATGCATCTGGCCGCAGAAGAGGTCAGCTCATAAAGAAAGTACAGCTCGCTCCGAAAGGTTTGGGTGTTATGAAGTTCTACCGTCAACAAAACCCACCGGAATCTGAGCTTCGTTTTTCTCAGAGACCAGCGTCTCGTGTCAATCAAAGAAAGCATGACCACACAAGTTTCGACCTGGCAAGCGGAAATGCATCGGCATCTGGTCCGGATCACTTGAAAAATCTCCGAATCACGGCATTTTCAACGTGTACGGACTGTGTAGCACCTGGAACAAAACGCGACAGTTCCAGACACCTAGTTTCGAGAAGCTACACCCTAACCAGACGCAAGGATCGGACTCCACAATTAACTGCGGAGAAAAGAGCATAAAAATGGTGTGGGTAAAGTATCTACATCTGAGCGTGCCATACCGGCTGGCGGCGCGTTTGCAGACGTCCCCGGCACTTGAGCGCCCGGCGCGAGGCCCGCGAGCCTAGCAGACCTCCGGAGTACCATCCCCGCGATGTTGGACAGGAACCCGCCTGCCGGAGGGGTCGGCGCCGGGGCGGAAGGAGGGGGGGAAAGCGTGGTAGTCACCTTGCGCACGGGCTGCTGCTTGCCGTTAATGGTCTGCAGAGGAAAGGGGACCGGAAAAGTGTCGGCATAAAGCGGGCCTTGAAGATGGCCTGACGTCAGCCGCTTACGCCGACGACGTCAAGGTTTAAATGCTCATCATCCGGGACGGCGATTTTGTGAGGGGTCTTGGCACGGTTCGATTGGGGTTATCCATGCATGGTCTACGCCCACTTTAACTTCAGACAGAGATACAAAAATGGTTGGTCAAACAAAACAAAGTCCCGTTTTGAATGGGGGGGTGGCCATGCTGTAGGGAAATATTGACGCTGCACATGCGAAGACACATCGGGCCTCTGCAAGACTATAGCTCAAAACCCTGTCCAGAGGCGTCATGTACAAAAACAGTCCTTGGTGTTACCAAATCTCAAGCAGCAAACGACAGACCGGCTTTCAAAAGATCGTTGTCAACAACAAGCTGGAATTGACACATCAATCGGCTCTCCCTTTGCTCTGCATGCACCGCCAATTAGGATCGACAGGTCGGATTTCTATCAAAAAGAATTATAAAGAACACATTGTTTCCGTCTTCTACACATTTTAATCTCTCAGAAGAAAACCCTGTCTGAAAGAGGGTGAGTCCGGTTGGTGGCTCCAATCACTTGTCCCGGCTACTCTTGAGGCCAGCCGTGCCTCAAAGCATAGCCTATCACGGCCAGAAGGTGGGACTTCAAACTGCGATGCGATAAGAAAAAAAAAAGAAAACAGATTGAAATAAAACAAAACACAACGAGCAAAAACAAAACCTTGCTATTTGAGAAAGTTGCTCAAGCAGACAGACGCCGTAGCGCTCCGTCCCAGCTTCTTCCCGCTTTTGATCGCGTCAAAAGTACTGCCAACGAGCAGACGGAGATGCTTTCGATCTATGGGAGCATAGAAAAGGGATTTCAAGACTTAAGCCGGGCAAGGAAAGACAAAACGACCGCGAAGAGCTCGCGCGCGCGCAATCAGACCGTCGCGAGAACGTGAATCAGACGGCGTATCCAGACTTTAGATACATGTTAGATTCTGAATAAGCGCTCCTCCTCAGAAGGGGGCATCCTCGCGTTTCACAGACTACAAGAAGCGTGATCCGGCAGCAGCTAGAGACCCTAGTCCTTTCAGCGTCAGAGCATGTTGATCCGGAAGGCCGTGTGAGAGTGTGTGGTTTTGCCACCCTCCCAACGAATTATGGTTCACTGCTGAGCTGTGGCAACTGCTTCCGTAGACCTCTAGCGGGAAACCAATGAGACTCAAGTGACCATATCAAGCTGCTAAACGAGATTGCATCCTCATTCTATAGTTAAGAAAACCTGCCATGAAAGCATGATCCAAAGGATCAACCAACCGACAACAGAGTTCAAAGGACAAAACACTCCCGGTGTAAGGCCGAACAAGGGAAATTTAATCCTTCTCAAAGCTTGCTCGTTGAGAATAGCAGGGGCGAGTCGCTCAACAATCCCGCGTCAACGAAAGAGTAAAGTACGCGCAGAGCTTGCGGAAAGAGGGGGCCTCTTGGCGTCAGAGCGATAGCGCCAACACTTGGAATTCAATGCTTCCAGCTTCCTAGCGGAATGCTCGTCATGGCCAAAGGTGAGCCCAATCCCAACCGCGGAATAGATAGACTGGCCCTCGAACAATATAGGCTCATCGGGAACGCAGCTCCTTAGTCGCAGAGGCAGATGCCCCAAGTGGTTTTTCACCTTTGAAGCAAAACCGTGCATTGAGTTTGCATTCCGTTTCTCGACAGTGGAATGGGATCGAGCGAATTGAGCTTTTGTCTATCGTCGGATTTGTTGAGATGCAACACGCTTGTCGTCTGCTGTCGACATCTACCGTGCAAGTCGAGAAAGCGATGTTTGCGGAGTTCCTCACTAGATACTTTCCTGTTTCGACGTCAGAGAAATACGAAAGGGAGCCTGAGATTACGTGGCTTTACCAACCTCCCAGCAAGTTGCTCTTCACGGCCAAGACGTGACGCTTGAGGCTCTCAACATATCGCCCGGCTCTCGACGAGTTGCCATAAAGACAAAGTAAACCGTACTGCAGATTGCAGCTAAACTGTCCACGATTGTAATCTGTAGGCACCAGTGGTTTACAGACCCAAGCAAGAACCATCGATCTCACATTTCTGCCCAGATGCGTGGCGCGGGCGGAAAGTCCACCCGCGCTTCGGGAATTGGTGAAGCCAGACCGCCCGAGGTTTTAGAACACCGCGCTGACCCGATATCCTGTGCGTACACAGATCCGATGCACTCCGCTAAGAAAGTGCTTGACAGCAGCTGCCAACACTGCGTCACCTCCATCATCCAGCTCCTTTCACGCAAAAAAGAAAAAGGAGGGAACGGAAACGGACGAGGATTGATAGACTGAAAAGGCACTGTAAAAGCGGAGTTACAAAAGCATGTCGAATAACCTGGGAGAAACAACGGTTCAACCAAGGGAACGCGCACTCTAGGCATGCCACTTCAGCAAAGATAAACAGGTACTGCAGATGAAAGTTGTTGGTATAGTCCTTATGCTAAGGGGAGACGATTCATTTGCGGAGACCTGAGCACTCACAATGCCGCCAAGACGAGAATCTTTCCAGGTACTGCAGAAATCACTGCCGCTCGAGGACCAATTGCGCGTACCTCAGCAAAGGTACGAGGGGTGTGAAGACTCTTATTTGGAAAGAAGACCTGCTTCAACAAATGCACCGTGGTTGAGGGCGGCGAAGGGGCATCGACAGCCTTGCATAGAAATTTGACAGATTTAAGGGCTTCAGTGCAAGCTTCACCTCTGGACTAAGCATTCGCTGGAAAATTCAGCCACCCAGGCAACCAGCATCACTGCCCCCGAAGGAACCATCCGTCCGAACACGGGTCGAATAGATTATAGCTTCTTGAACATGCAAAGTTTCAGAGGTATGCAAGACGATTGAACTCCTGCTACTCGCAAGTAAAGTACATCACAGGCCGTCACTGTCAAGTTGGAGCCCTCCTCCCCTGACTAGGACAACGGGACGGGAAGAGCAACCGGAGGATTTTCTCCTTCTTGAAGTACATCATTATGTTCCAGATACTCAAAAGTCACAATATAAAAAGCAGACGCTCGAACTCTTCTGACGTCATTGATGAAAGTGCTGCTCGACGTGCTTGTCATAAGCGTTGGCTCCGAGCCGGGACTCGTTCAATCCCTGAACAGATCTTTGGTACTTTCTTGTCCCAAATGGACGCTCGTCATAGCCAAACACCATGACCAAATGCACAACTGGCCCTGCTTTTGTGTTTGCCAGGCATGCTCAAAGTCTGAAGACACATCTTTCAGGTGCAAACGCTTAATAAACCTCGGAATTCAAATCTTGTCCTTTGAAAGCTGCTTGGACTCTACCAGTTAAAACGGGTTTGCAGATATGGGGCAAGATTGCCGCTCCTAAGCCCCTCTTGCAAGGGGCGTCCTGGCAACACATCAGCTACTGATACACCCCCTATTTCTTGATAATCACTATCTAAGACACGAGACTGGTTGTTCAAACAGATATTCGGAGGACGCTATGTGGAAAGACACGGTCATGAAGATCCGACGTTCTCAAAAAGAGTTATATTCCTGGGAACGGGCTCGAGCAGGATTTGCTTCTGGCATTCAAAAAAGGTGACATACGGAGCGACTGTCTGCCAAGCCCTTATGCTTTTTGGTCGCGTATGACTGTCTGAATTGCACATTCAGGCGTTTTGTCAGAAGCTCCCAAGTCAGTTGCTTCAGCAACACACGTGGAAATTGGAAGGATAGCCTTGTTACATTCCTTAGGACAAGCAGAAGTGCAAACGCTTCGAACGACAATGAGAGGCGGGACGCCCTTTCCAAGCGAGGCAGAACCGACATACAGACCCCCTGAGAATGCTGGCAAGTTTCAACAGATGAGTCTTCTCACCTGCCAGGCATCGACCCGAAACTCGATCCAACGGTCCTGCCCATGGAATTAACGCGCTCCGGGCACAAAATGGATGGCAAAACCAACTGCCTTTGAAAAACTAGTAAGAATCCCCCTGACATGTTCAACCAGAGCAAATCTTACCACCTGCCACCCGTCGACCCCAAACTCAACTCAGAAGTCCTCCCTACAAAACAAAGATGCTCCTGGCACAACCAAATCCCGTATGAAAACTTCTGGGACATCCCCCTGACATGTTGACTTAAAGCGAAACTCCCACCTGCCACGCGTCGACCCCAAACTCGATCCGGAAGTCCTGCCCGTACAGCGTCGTGAAGTCGCACTCCGCCTCGCCCGCTTCCCGGGCCGCCTCCACCCGGACGCTGATCTCCGGCGGGTATGCCTCCCAATTGTTGCCGTCGAACCACTCCCACTGGACGGCGGCTTGGCCGGGGTTTGAACCAATGGGGTTGACTATGCGTCGGGCGTTGCGGCGGTACCCCGTGATTGGATTCACCTGTGCAAGAGAGAACGAAAGTTTGGCACAATCGGTTGTCTGAATGGATGTTCCAAGTTCAAGGCAGTTCGAGTTCTGCAACACATCTACACAACGGGAAAAAAACTAAAGACAACGACAACGACAGTCTTTTGAAAGGAAATACATCTCACGAGACATGCACCAACTCACAAGAAGAGCTGGTAGCATCTGTATCGTAATTGTTAAGTTCTGAGCGATCGTGAACATGGCTCAGAAAGACCCCAACATGCGCTGCCTATTCGAAGAAGAGGCAAGCATCCGGTCTCGTCGTAGCCGGAGATTGACAAAGTTGCAGGACCATTCAATCGAACCACAAGGCTTCTGATCGACCTAGTAAAATGCCTCTGGCATCCCCACACAGTCTTCTGACACACACACGTTTCAGGAAGACCATAAGTAGCGTGCTCCCATTAGGTTGGAACCCATTCCTTGAACCCAGGTGAGGTGCAGTTGGTAAGCCGCAGTATAAAAGCTTCGTGAGAGCTTTGTACGACACTTGGTGGACGAACCGCTGGCTACCGATGTCTGGCAAATAAGCCACGGGTTCATGGGCTGTCCAATACCTGCCTCGATCTAGGAACTGAAAGCAAAGAGTACAAAAGAAAGCTGGAGTGATCCACAGTGTAGGAGCAGGATGTGCACAGAGCTTTGGACCTTCCAGGGAGAGAGGGCGCTTGACATATTGCAAAGGCTAAACAAGAAACCATTGCATCTCACTTCCTGAATTGACCACAAAGCAGCCCGACAAACTTCCTCAAGTAGAACCCAGGGGAGTGGACTCAGAAGTGAGACAAGCGTAGCGCAACATATCTGCTGTGGATTTAGTACCAACCTGTTGAGGGCTTCCTACGGCTAGACTGTGCGTTCACATACAGTGACCTGTCTAGGAATGCCGAAGGAAGGCCGACCTCGATTCAATGGGACCTGCCACTTTTGAAGCTAAGCAACCTAGACTGCATTTTCAAGCTTGCTCAGCTTGAAGTGCCTGAAGCGGAACCACGTAATCACCACTTATAACGTGGTGGCAAATCAAAAGGTAAAAGCAAAACAACAGGGCAGACGGGATCTGCTACACGCTCTGGTCAGTGCTGAAGGATTGAAAGTAGCAAATTGTGCAATGATCAGGGAGCAAGCGATGCCTAGCATATCAGATTGATGCCACTGATACATTAACCCCAGGTCTGTAAGTAGATTAAAGCCAGCCACACTAAGGTTTGAGAATCCCAACTGTGGACCCGGCAGCCCGAAACTGTCCACTCAATGGTAGGTTCCGCCAGAAGCTGGTCAACAAAGCCCTTAGGATTTACAAACCCCAATGGACCAAATACATGTTTGCTTGGTTCAACCACAGAAGGCTCCTGAGTCCTGCTCCCTTTTGTAAGATGTACAAGGAAGGCACGGGCGCTGACAGGGCAAAGGGTTGCTAAGCTCCCAAGCCAAAATGCTCAAGTGAATTACAGCAGAGCTTTCAGGACCAGGCATTCGCAACAGGTCCGCTAAAAAGGACTTGCATTGACCAAGTCTTCAAGTGAGTTTATACTGCGTTGTTCTAAGTGTGCTAAGTACACTACTATTTGGATAAGACACTTGGCCGCTCACAGCTCAGACAACCAACAACCAACTGTGAAGTTCTCAGACAGTTCTCAGAACGCCATTTCAGAAGTAAGATCCTGAACATAAAGAACATCCTCGAGGCTTGCTTGAAGGTCTGACAGAGAGGGCTCTGGCCTAATGCATGACAGGACCAGCATATGACAGGACCTGAGACAGGCTAGGCATTTTGCAGAGCTTTGTGGTTCAGCGTCCTGCTTGGACATCATACAGTCTTAAAGAAGCATGCACCAGGACTCTTGTAGAATCACAGCTGAAGCCCATTCTGAACAAAAGCAAAGACCAGCCACGATCACAAGGAGAGGCACGCCACTTTCTATCTTTGCCACCTTTGTAACACCACGTTCATGAGATGAGGGTACTATACATTTCAAATACAAATGGCAGTCTGCATTATCCTCAAACGAAAGAAGTCATTGTCGACTACTCTGCAGAAAGCAGAACCGCATTTTCTATCAACCAGATTAGTTAAGCAACCAAAGAAGTTTGAGGTCGCACTTCCTTATGCCTTCAGACTTGCCAGATTGCATAGTGATCTCTCAGTTTCAAACAGGCACTCAGGCTTTAAAAGACCACGTCATCACAAAAACACGCACCTGCTTGGGCCCCTCCTGTGCAAACACCAGCTGGCACGTTGTGCCCCTGTCCACGATCTGGACACTCCCCTGTCCCGCTCCCTCCGCAGCTTTTATTGCAGCAGTTGCGGCGTCGTCGTACTTTTGCCACCCGCTGTCTTCCCGCCGCTCCCAATGCACCACGCTAGTTGCCATGAACCTCTGCTTTGGGAAACACACGAGTGAAATGCAGACGATGGAAGGATTGCAGCAGGTGTGGGGGCCAATGCTGGGGAACGTGGTGTTTGTTTCCCACATGCACAAAACTTCAAACAAGCAAAATGGTGGAGGTGACGACCCTTTCAAGGGTTTGCCCTGCAGGCGCTGTGTAGGGATCATCCTGGTTCTGAGCCCAGCATTGCTGAAACGGTTAAGCTATGTGTAGGAGATAACCATCATAAGAGAACCTCGCTTCAGCTGTATCTGGTACATGTTGCGGCCGCATTCTAAATTATGGCACCCCCTTAACCCAGACATCCAGCTGGGTTAGCGGATCTAACCCAGGCAAGACTGGTTGACGTCAGCGGGGCTGGACCTTCTCAGAGTCATACATGGGGGCGGCATGCAAGATGGAGGCGCAGCAGCTTTTCCTCCCTCTCAAACTTAAAGGGGCGGCTATCATATCTCGAGAGCTGTTGGAAGGAGGAGAACAGCTTGATCTGCAGCAGTGTATACGGCCGCTTGTCGCTTGTTGGCAAGACCTCGAAACAGAGGTCTAAATTGCTGAGCGGATTGGTGGTTGGGCGTGTTTTATGCTTGTTCAGGCTTGCTGGACAACAAGAGAATCCTCAAATTCAGTGTGAACAAACTGAACTAACACTTGGGATATTGCGGGGTTGAAAGTGTGCACGCTTAATGCAGCAATTCTTGCTGACACTTGAGAACCATGGGTATATCGGAGGACGAGGTAGGAGACTGTCTGCTCTTCCCCACTGTTCTCTTCCCCTATTTGCTGAGCTACTCAATAGCCAGTGATTGTGCTTGTTATGTAAGGTTGGAGTCCTCGTCTCTCCATTTTCAAAGAGCGGCAGCTGGCGCCTTTGCTCATGATTCTGCAATGAACACTGTGATGCTGAGTTTCAAGATGCTGCGTCTGAGCAGATGTATCCTGAAAAGATATCCTGCTGTTGTCATTTTGCATCACAATCTTTCTCCTGACAACAACCCTTTCGGTATTTGACAACTTCAGATGATCAGTCCATCTCAAGGAATTCATAAGTAAATGCCCCCAGTAAACACCTGGCTATGTTCGAGGCACCTTACTGAAAGTGGATGCTGTCTGCAGGGGGAGGGTTTTGAGGACTTCACACTTGCATCCCCCTGGGAAAAGTAGGTGCCTCAGCCTGCCTCAGAATTGGTCAGATGCTTGTACGATGCTAGTACCTAGGAACTTTGTTTGAACAGTTGCTTCATAAAATTGAACTGCTAATATCCACCTTGATGTTTGGAGATTAGCTTTGTGGAAGAGTAATCAGCTTTCAGTGGGGGGTGATGGACCCATCCAGGGTGGAAAAGCTGTGCAATCTTTCAATGATGCTTGTGGCGATGTTTTCACCCATGAAGTTCTAAGTCTGCTCTTTCTTCCATGGCAAAATGTGTTATCTGGTTGGTCTAGTGCATTAGTGCCTTGAGATCGCTCCAAGCATCCTGCAAATACGTTCGAGAGATTCAGTGTACTTGACCTTTTGCAGGTTGCTGGACGGGTTTGAGAAAGCAGTAAGGGCATGGCAGGCAGCGGACGGAGGGGTTCAGGTGGGGCTTAATCAGTTGCCTTGAAAACTCTTCCAATAATTCCCACTTAAGCTTAAAGAGTCTCCCTGACCCTGATGTTAGACTCAGCGCTTACGACGGTGGCGTGTTCTGGCGTTCAATCACATACACATGTTTCAACGGCATCTTTCTATCAAAGAAACAGTCACAGATTGACTAGTAGTGGGCGCACACAGAATAGCAACTTGCTCAGCCCGGGGAAAATCTTACTGCAGAGTAGAGTGGGGGACGAGACTACTCAAACTTCGAGATTTCTTGTCAACCTGCCTGTGCCAGCTGCGTTCTCACGTCACTCCTGTTCGATGTTTGCCTTCTTGTTAGCATGAACACACCAATCCAGCCCTCTAAGGGTTGACCAGTTCGCAGTGCAGAACCTGCACAGGACCTTCTCAAAGTGTTTGATCATCTTTTGCGGTCAGCGGATGGCAAAACGTTTGCCAGGACCCGTTTCAATGCAACTTCTCGCTTCCGGCTGTGTACAGGCTGGTGCGAGTACTCCCCATTTGGTACACCTAGAGTACGCCGGGCAGAAGCTTTTCTTGAGGCGCCACGTCATAGCACCTCAAGCCTCAGGTTCGTGCATCTCTCCCAACGAAAATAAAAATCTACAGGAAGTAATCATGTACAGTTTTTCTGGCGATGCACTGCTCTTCTTCCAGGTTGAATCAAGTCAACCTGATCGGAATTCAATGTGTGGTGTTTGCCCTAATCGCTTCCTCCCAATTCGAGCGAAGCATCGAATCAAGTTAAGCAGTTCCTTTCAAGCTCGTAAGGAATCTGCTAGGCCGTGTTCGTGTTCAGGTTTCCTACAGTTGATACTATCAGTGTGCACCAAATCCGCCACTAACTCTCAAACAAGTTCAAGAGATAGTACCTTCGTACAGATTGACAAAAGTGGCGGCTCGACCTGGGTGTTTCTCGTACTCGCGTAGTCAAGCGGCCGATCAGCTGGGAAGTTCAAGATTTAAGAAAGTCCTATCTTTGATCACTTCGAACCATCTGGATGAAGCAGCTTTTTTCTGCAATAGAGCAGACTACTCGTAGAATTTCGATAGATCGTCTGAAGCAATACAAACGGACATCTTAGTCAAAAACCCGCTTACAGGTGGAGGCACAGCTCCCGATCCCTGGGGCGCAGAGCATCCCCTTCAGCTGCAGTTTGGAGTAACTGACTTTCTGGTGAGTACGCAGCTGCCTTTTTTCACCCTCGGTGCATCTTTACCGTCAGAATAAACCCTGACAAGTCCTGTCACCTTTCTCCCGAGCCTGTTCGGAGTGTATGGATTTTGCTAAGCGTACTGTATCTTTGTTGGCGGAGAGGTGGCAGTCGATTGAGGTGGGGGTAAAAAGGACGGAGCAACATGCTTTGATAGTGAGCGTATTCATGTTTGCGCGAAATATTCGAGGCACTTTGCTGCTTTCTGCTTCGAATCCGTTCTTGGCAAACCAAGTACAGGACACGACATTCCGTCCCCTTCGCTGAGAAGGAAGGCAACCGGAGCTTTGTGTCCGAGCCTAAGGACCGTTCGAACTTTAAGCTGCCTTGTTCTTCACAGGTTTCAGGTGGTTTTGATTGGAAGGCATTCGAACCGTCTATAAAACGGCGCAGGTCGGGCTGCCTGTTGAACGTACTCTGTCGCTCGTTTTACAACCGGCTTCTTTCTCTCTCTGCTGTTCCTTTGCTGACCGAACTGCCGAAAGCTCGCTAGGCAGCCCCAAATGGGTCTTGAAATGCTGGATCTGATCTACAGCTATCTCGAAGACTGCCATTTTTGTGGCGCAGATATGTGGACCGGCAGAGGGGAAGATTGGATCGGCCTTGGCCAGTATGCTTCTCAGCACGGCAGCTGTTGGCCTTGCTAACGCTGGCAGGTAATGACCTAGCCTTTTGAAAGGGTTGTCCTCGATGCAGACTGGCGATGTGCCAGTGTCCAAAAGGACACAGCTTGACCATCCAAATACCCGTCAGCACACCGTTACTCTTTATCGAGTATAGCTAACTTCACGGAAAAGGATGATGAGGTGAGCTAATAGATTAGACTTTGTTAGTAGGACGTCACAATCATTTCAACAAGCAGGGACTCCAAAATAAAATATCAGAACTAACCATAAGCCTAAACATTGCGAACCATTTCAATAGTTGAACGTATACCCAAAGCGATCCGCTCTGCTCGCAGTTCCCTCCCAGCGTTTATACCATTGCCGAACTTGGAAACCGCTGGGCATCGGGGCATCGCCGTCCGGACGTCCGTGGGCCTGGTCCAATATTTGGACACTGAGCGGACGGTGCATAAGGCCCCCGCGCCACACCCGGAGCTGCCCGCCCTTGTAGACTCTTTGCGCGGCCGAATGGTAAGCGTCCCGTGTAAACCCTGCGGATCTGGACTTTTTTAGATCATTTTCTAAGGACCACGCTTGATTGCGGTAGGCATCTGCGGACACTTCCCTGTTAAAAAGGTGTGTCTACAACCGGTACTGTCCATTTTACAAACAGCGAATGTTTTGGGCTTTTAACTTTCTCACGCGCTCCATCAACTACCGTTTTGAAGCTTCTAAGGCGCCCACGTCAGCCGCTCCAAGGCCCGAGCTGATACGCCTGGATTTGAGCTTCAAAAACTTTACGTACCTTATCAATTCAAGAACTTTCCCCCGAATCTACGAACCTGAAGTCAATCGATTTCTAAATTTCTCCATCTCTCTCGTCAGCGCCTTCTTGTAACGTCCACAACGCCGCCGCCCTGCAGATTAACATGCGCCAAACCTTCGAAACCCCCGTTCCAAGTATTCAAACCCTACTTCATTTCGTTCCAGACCATTTTCAATTTATTCGCAGCGCCTTCTCGGAACGGCCCCCGACCCCGTCGCCCTCCACATCAGCATGCGCCAAACCTTCGAAACCCCGGGGCTGGCCTTGGGGGATCCCTCCGGTCGGTCCGAAGCAGCGGGCCAAGCGGGTGGAGACGGGGAAGACGGGTTCTGGGACGACGACACGCCCTGGGCGGCATGGCGTAACCTAGACGACCCGGTGCGAGGTGGGTTACGGAGGAAGGTTTCGCTTGGGTTAATATTTTGCAAGCCTCGCGGCTTTAACAATCCTGTTTCGACCCAAAGTATGTTGAGAACGGGGGAGGTTCACGATGACGACACGCCCTGGGCGGCGTGGCACAGCCTAGACGACCCGATTATTGGTGGGTTACGGAGGAAGGTTTGCTCAAGGCAAGGGAGAAGGTGTGCGAATTCAGACTTCCTTTTGTACCGGCCCATGTCCTTTCCTTTCCGCAGATCCACGGCTGAAAGAAGACCGTCCGAGTGACGTCCTTTGTTGAAGATGTTCTCCCTTGCGGCCAGTGCTCTTCCTTGACCGCAATGGTTCGAAGAACGGCCGATTTCGGCAAAATTCTACTCCTTTTGTCCGCCCGTTGGTCCGGATTATCTGTCACCGTCCGTGTCCGGAAGATGGTTCCTTCTCTACGGTCCGCACCGTCCGCATGCTTACAGGCTTCGCTTTGTGGCCCTTTGTGTCCGCAGACGGTGGACATATTGGTATGACTAGTATCCTTACTCATATTGTGCATGTTCGATATCTGCAGGTTTCCGTCTGCACGTTCGCGGCCCTGCATGCGCACCCCGTCCAAAGAGCATCGGACTGAAAAACGAGCGGTCCGTAAGTCCCTCGTACTGACACCGTCCGCATATTTGCAGGCTTCCGTGTGTCCGCCTCATGGCCTTTCCTGTCCGCAGCCGGTCCGAAAGATGTCCGAGCGATTGAGGTCAAGCCGGCGGGGTCAGCCGCAGAGTGGCGCCTCGAGCCGGTTTTTGACACGACACACAGCGGGTGAGAACCCCCAAGTGGGGGTTGCGGGATCTGACATAACGAATAATATTGCTCGGCAAATTTTAAGGTCATTTGAAAAGCTGCGCGCCTACGACTGTTGCTGCACGTTCTGGTCGAAATATTGGTTTTCGCGTGCCACGGAGAAGCCACTTGGGGGTTCGTCCTCTTGAAAGTACTCAGGCGAAGAAAAAGCTTCGAAAGGCGGGCTTGCGAAAAGCTGTTCCCACCTCAATGTTTTGCTCACAAAGTGCAGATTGTTTGAGTGATTTTTATATGCCGATGTCCTCCCAAGGTTTCAGCAACGACTAAGCACGTTGATTGTATTTTCGGACTGGAGCACACAAACCTTGACAGCCGCAAAGTCCAATTGACAGCCGCAACATCCAATCGAAAACCACCAGTAGGAAGCCATTGTAATCAAAGTATCCTACAATCAAGACACTGTCCGCGCTCCTCCGTTGCGCAGAGCAGTCACCGCTGAGGGGGAGGCCAGCGGCTTCGCCAGCTCGCTCCGGGCGCTTTCCATCGCGTATCTGTGCACAATCGGCACCAAGTTTATGGACGACTTTGCGCATTCCAGTGAGTCCTGCAGCTGCTCTGCTGCTCATCAAAAGGCCATAGTCGAAGCATGTTTCTTCGATGAAAGTTGTTCAAGAGCTCAGAGTCTGGTCCTCAGTGTGCTCCCGCTTCCCGTCACCACATCGGAAAGTCATCGGGGCCAAATGTCGAAAAGAAGCAAACCTGGGGCTTCATTTTGGCCGCGTGATTCATTTCGCCGTCGTCTTTCGCCGCGTGTTCTCTATGATCAAGCCGGTCCGAGCGATCCCGTCCTTTCTAAAATCAAGCCGCCGAATCTTCTCTCGTTCTGAATCAAAGATTTGGACTCCAGCACCTGCCACTGTGAAGGCCAAATGGTGTTCCGCAGAACACGGATGACGAGCTGCAACCTGTTGTCATGCAGACCTGACCGAGCGGAACGAGATGTGGGCCCTCCGTCGTGCCTTCGACGTCCCCGGCTCCCTCTTTCAGATCCCGCCCCCGACTGCTATCATTCGAAGCGTTCAGAAGCTCTTTGATGAAGGTGAGCGCTTCTGCGGTTTCTAAACTTTTTTGTGGGCTGCTCAGCGGTTCCTTTTGCGCTCCTTCATTACACTTGCTTTCATGACACACATCCGCTTCAACGATAATGCAACCGACGGAGATTCATATCCGCCCTTACGGTCCATCTGTGTGAATCTTCTGAAGCGCCAGTCTCTTGAATTAGCACTCTTTTTCCGCCTTCATTCTTCGCTGCCCATGCTCCGTACTCTAGCGTCGATCAACCTCTCTTCCGCCCAGCTGTGACGATAAGTTCTTTCACTGTTGCTCCTTGCTTCCAGATTCCCCTCTGCCGGAAGCACCCCCGGCCGCAGGCCGACCCCTTCACCTTCCCTGCAAAGCAGCGCCTCCAGGGTCCCTATTTGCACGCTTCAGTATGCAGGCGCTTCGCTCCCCCAGAATACAAGGTGGGGTTACCATTGAAAGCTCAGTGCTGAAACCTCTGGGTAAAGGAGATTTAGGGTTCCAAAGCATTCTGGGGGTTGACAACAATCTAATGTGCTAAGACTCCAATTTACCCGAGCTTCGGGCTCAAAGCTGTTTGTAAGTTGGAGGGAACAAGGGGCGAAAAGTTTCGGGGTTGACGATACAAGTACACGTTTGCAGCCTCGGAGAGTGGTCAAGTAGAACTCGTTGCCGGACAGCAGCCTTCTTTGTTCTTATGTTCCACTAGTACCATGACGGGCACGCAGTCGTGCTAACGAGAAACACGACCTGTAGTTCGACCCTTGGTCAACCCGCAAGTTACCCTAACCCGAAGCCTAAACCTAACCTGCAGCTGTAGCGGCGCTGTGGACACAGCTGGTGCAGGAGGTCCGGTGGTTCTGGGAGGAGGCGGAGCCGCTTCCCCACGTCGCAGCTGACGGGCCGCCCGATCTCGCGTGCTGCCTCGTGCACCAAAAGCTGCAAATGGTAAGCGTTTCCATACTAGTTCTTTGAACTTGGTCGCCTTACGAGTGTTGAAGCGCGGCGACTCCACTTGGGCCCGAAGGGTTGCCCGACCGCGCGTGCTGCCTCGCACACCAAGAGCTGCCGTTGGTGTCGACTGTTTGCATGCAATTTCGAGATAGTAAATCGGTCGCAGATTCGATACTCGCTGCCAGTTTGTGCGGTGTGTCGTAAAGTGTGTAAGCAAGGCTGCAGATAGTGGGCGTTCGAAAACGGCGGCGCCACGACCAGACTGCCGTTGCTTGTTTTCTGGAGACCTTTACCTACAACGTTTGAGGGTCGATTGGCCTTCTGCCTAGTAAATGAGAAGAAGGAACGGTGGTTTGAGCTTTGATCAAACGTTCTCGAAGTTCGTTAATTGCTTTGTTGCTTGGTCGTTGCTGCTTTATTCAGGGTTCTCTTCCGATCGAGATGTCCTGTATCTTAACGCGACACGGAGGAAGAGGAGCCTGGAAAAAGCTGATGTTTCAGGGCCTCTACGTTAGTCGCATTTGTTCGTCGAGCTCGTTCCTCAGCAGGGAATTCTCAGGCCACTGGCTGCTGATCAGTTCGGGTCTTCTGTGGGCTTTTGGAGGTTTCGCGGACTAAGCTGACAGCGAGCACTCATTTTGTGACACGCACCTTATGGCATTCCCGTGTCTCCGTAGAAAGCGCAGCTTGTGAGTTCTACCCGTGCTTTGTACAGCTGGCAGCGTGCATCAGGAAGCGCGCAGCGGACCCGGACTTCCGGCGGAAGAGCAGGCGGACGTCCGAGCAACGGACTTCGCCAGCGGACGACGTTTCGGACCGAGACACGCCCGACGAAAGCGACAGTCACGGGAGAGAAGCTGCAGAAGGTGCGTCACGATGACTTCTAACGCCGTCAGATACGGCATACTGTTTCTGAAAGAGAGTTCTGACTGAGTGACTTTGATAGCATCATTGAATCCGTGGATACGGGCAGTAAAGACTTGTCCAGCTTTGACGGCTTGAACTGTTGTTGCAATGGGGACGCTGTTTTGTTGCACAGTCTTGTTCATGTCAGAAAGATCTCGCCAATTTGGAACCATGTGGCAAGATCGATAGGACCGCTATCTTTTGGTCTATGATAGACGAAGCATGGTCAACCACACTTGCAACGTCGTACCCAGTGTTCCGAGAAGTCCACTCATGCATACCAATCGTGTGTGCATCATCTTTTCAAAACGGCCATCAGAAACCGAGATCGTCCTGGAAACCGGACAGTCAGTAGAACATGTTGCTTATCGCACGGCTCCGAAGGTCGAACGAGAACCCGAGATCTGGCTTGTCGGGTCACAAGTTGTAAACCGGCTTGTTTCGTGGCCACAGGGCCGTCAAGAGGTGGCGGCGACGACTGGAACTCCGCCCCCGGCTGGGAGGACGCCGACTTTGAAGAAGAGCGCGCGTCGGATGCTACGGACGCTGATGTCACTGCTGACGCCCGGAAACAGTCCGCCGACCAACCAGAAACGGACACGTTAGCAGCCTCGGTTTTCGACTGCTTTCGAACGCAGGAGGAAGCGGCGTCGGAGGCGAGTGCGGACACGCAGTACGACAGCTGTTCGGACACGGAGGTGTTCGAGTCGGGGGGGGGCTATTCGCCCACAGAACCGTCCACCCTGAGTGCGGGCGGGCGTCCGAGTTGGGCGCATTCGCCGGGAGGCGCGTCCGAAGTGGTCCGGAAGCGCGGGAAAGAGAAGGATTGGAGGGTCCGGGGAAACTTTGGGGGGGGTGAAAAAGGGCCCGGGCAGAGGGGGCGGGACGAGGAAGATATGGACGGACGGGAAGGGTCGCTGGGCCCCGTGAAGAATCTGTGGCTGTTGAAAGTGAAGCGGAGGATACACGAGCCGATAACACAGGTGAGTGGCAGAAAACTCCCTGCTTATACTTTCTACTTCGCGTGTAGCCGGCTCTCGGTTTTTGAAGCTTCTAAAGCCTCGAGCCTCCGTGCGAAACGCACCGGGAAGCATTTTGGGAAATGTGGAGAATGCCGAAGGACGGTTGTGACCAGCAATGCGTCCCGAATTGTGTTTGAGGCGTGCCAAACTGCCATCGTCATCTTCGATCCGCTGCTGCAGACGTTTTGTCCCGGCGACCCGTCCCCCGTGATTTTACCCTCGGTGTCGCCCAAAAGCCGCGCGCCGTCCTCAGCACAACAACACGTAATTTGAATCCCTTCCGCGTCTTACGCCAACTATCCTGACGACACACCTCGCTTTCAAGCCGAGTCTCTAACAGTGCGAATACAGCTCAGGTCTCGGTTGTGCTGATGGGGGTTTGTTTTATGCCGGTGCAGGAGCCCCCCTACATGACGGAAGACATGCTGCGGGAGCAAGAGACAGCGCTGGCAGCGCTCAGCAGCTTCGATCAGGTGACGCTTTTCCCCTCTTGCAATTCTTCCGTCTTCCCGATTTCTACCCCTTGAATCACCCAAGTGGATTTTAGTGTTGGCTTGGTTACTTTTACGAACTCCGGGGGTTCGAGGGTGCGGGCTTGTCTGCACCGCAAACGTTGCTGATTCCGGTACGACATTCTGAGGAGTTCCCAGGTTTCCTGCAGGTTTCCTGACCGAAGAATTCCTTTCATCCTATCCTCAAGGACCTTCGTATCAAAGGGCCTTGGAAGGAGAGTAAGGCTCCTTCATTTCGCAAGGTCTTCTTTGACCAACATGTCACAGGAACTTTCCACTGAACGCATCAAGAGGATAAAACGAGGAGGCTGGGGTTGTGTATGTTGCTGACAGTTAAACGTGGCTGCAGGGGAAGGACGCCTTGGCGCGTCTGCATAGCCGCATGCTGAGCTCTGGTAAGCTCTTCGTGCCGGCACTCCCCTCAGAAACGCGACGATACCGAATCATTCCAGATACCGGAACTTCGACGATGCTTTGATAACTCCAGAGTCAAGAAGCATGGCCTGCTGCGAAAAAGGCACGGTTTTCTTATCTGCAACGCCAATCTCCGAGTCTTGCTCTGTATAATGGGACGGCATGGTTGGTTGGATCTCTGAGAGTCCAGCCTATCGAACTATGCGACTAACGGGGCACTTAACGCTAGAGTGCTTAATGGGAGCGTCTTTTCTAGCCGCTCCAAAGTCGAATATGCAGTCTGAGGGTTTGTAGCATCCATCCAACCGGATGATCGTCTAAGCTGATATCCTACCTTTTTTTGGTGGGTCGGTGACAACTGGCCACTTCCCGCCCTCCCTAAATTTCAAATGCAACAACGCTGAAAACTAATGTCGGAGTCCGGTCGAAAGCCCTCTCTTATTCTACTTTTGCATTCTCAAAAGCTTCCCCGTTTTTCGCAGACATGTCCGCATTCAAGGCCGCCAACCCTGGCGCCCTTCTGGAAGACTTCGTCCGCTGGCATTCTCCTCGGGACTGGCTCCCGGAGGATTCCGAAACCAGAACCGGAACCGGAACCGGAACCGGAACGAGCTCCTCGGAAGGAGTGCCCGGTTGGCCCCCCCAGGGAAAGGTCTCCCGGCGGATGCAGGCCGACAGTTTTTGGGGGGAGCTGTGGGAACGCGCCGAGGCGCTTCCGGTCACCGATCAGCGGCCGCTGTTCGATCACACGAGGGAAGCGGAAAAGGTGAGGGTGGCAGTTGTAAATTTTTGGTTAGTGGCGCAGTAAAGCTCTAGTTTAACGGCTGCGGGACCGTTGCATTAGACGACGGAAGCCGGGAAGACAGACGGTATGCAAACAGTTGATAGCATCTGTGGTCGGCCGTCTTTTGGTTCCGGAGTACTCGAGAGGGTGCGCCGATATAGAGTAGTCAATTGTCATGCGTGCTTACAAGAGGCTGAATTGGAATGCTTGCTCTGCTCGATGAAGGCCGCTTTGAGACTGCGATCGCTTAAACAGTTGCGGAGATCGACTCCGGATAAAGTGTGCCGTCAGAATCGCTTCAACTTGGCCACGCGTTCTCTTGAGTAGCAATCTGTATCCAGAAAGCGAGGGGAGAAAAGGAGGAAGTAAGCAAGGAAACGGGCCCCGACACATATGTCGAAGCATTGAGAAGCGAGTTTACCTCGAAGGCATTTTTCGGTTTTTCGATCCTCTCGGGTAAGCAAGTCTGGGTAAGGAAAGAAGACAGACCCACTCTTGCTTATCCGCAGGTGTTACACTACCTGGACACGATCGAACCTCAGGACCTGCTACCCCAGATGCTCGCCACCGCTTTTTACTCCGCTCTAGATCTCCTGGCCGCGGCTCGGGGCGCGTCCGTGCCAACCGTGTCCGAACTGCGCAAAGCGCTGGCGTCCGAAATGTCCGGTGCTTTGGATCTGGGGCTGTTACAGCAGCAAACGAAAGGTGGGTGCGCGCTTAGCAGTTGAAATCTGCACTTCATGGTATTGTAACATGGCGATGCAAAAGTTTTACTACATGTAAGGTTGACGGTTTTGGGTTTGGTGAGCTGTCAGGAAGGATCAATCGCTTGAAGTGCTCGTCAAGAGTGACAGAATGTTTCTGCAGATCCGGGAATGTTACCCAAAGGTACCCCTGTCTTGAATATGACGCCGGAGCGGAACTCCGCTCCCTTGCCTCTTCTGTTGCTCAAGACAACACAGCCGGCAGCAGACCTCTGATTGCTCATGGATGCCCGCTAAGAGAGCTCTAAGAAACTCCAGAGGTCGATTCCTTTCCGTGTGCTTCTTATCTGAGCATCTTACCGGCCGGTCACTTTCTACACACCCAACCCCAAAAGGCGCTGTACGAAAACGCTGATAGGAGCCGAAGCTGAATGAGCACGACAGGGACTACATGTCGACACGCCAGCATGACCGCAACGCTAGATCTTTTCCAAAGTTGCCACCATAACTTTCTGTCCTTCCTCTAATTTGTGACTCGGACATTCGCAGACGAGTCCACAGGGATCCAGAGCTCTCTCGAGGCGCTCTGCAACCGGTTCGAGGAACTGGAAGCCCTCATCGTGCGCGCGGCGTCTCTCAGCCACAAGCTCCCCGGGCGTCCGCAGCTCGTGTCGGAATTGCTGTCCGCCGTTCAACTTTCCAACCGGGGGGATCCCCCAAGTTCGTTAAAAGTGGAGTCTCTACCGGCAGCCCAAGAAACTTCCCCAGGTGTAGTGATCGATCTGGCGACACATGATGACCGGAACCGAGCAGCTTTGATCGCCGGGATCCCGGAGCTTTTCTCGGACCGGCGGGCGGGGAGCGGGCATCCGGGGAAAGAGGCGTCCGAAAGGGGCGGAGTGGTGTCGATCGGACGGCGGCCGGCCACAGTCGAGTACGTTCTGGTTCAGGGTTTGCACGGCTGTAAAGATAGTGGGGAAACACGGCTGGAGCCTAGCGTGGTGTTGACGGATCGAATGTATGTCCGCAGCACGCCGTCGACGCTTCTGATGACAACGGCGTTTTGGAAGCCGCCATGGCCCGGATCTTAACGATCATAGTACAGCCTAGGGCAGTTGTATAAAATCACGGGTCATGCGCAAAACCATAGTCAGCTGGTATTCGATCAATTATAAAATGCACGAACAAGGCCAACGTTGGCGAAGGCAGGCTACTAGGCTATGATCGGACACGATGAAATGTCTGAGTCTGTTACTTAGTGAGCACCGTGGGTCGATGCGGGATCGATCGGATCAGATCATGCATATAGAGTATTGTCGACCGTCGAGGACATCTATCTCAAGAGAATGAAGTAGCGCACAACCGTCCGCATTGCAACAGTACGTGACTTGAACTATATCGATTGCGTGCCGGTCAGCGCGCGGCGCGGCCCGCGCTTCTCAGCTATTGAGTCGAGTCCCTCTTTGACTATAGTCCGGTCTATTTCAATTACGTATATAGAATGTATACTACGCGTACGATAATGATCGAACTGAATAATCATTTATGTCAGTCCGGCTGAGTTCAATGCGGCGGCATGCATCATACTGGCAGATATATCAGATCGACGTTTATTAACTTCTCCAACCGGCAGTCTCGACATTTAGCTAGGTTGTCGCGGTGCGGTGAGTTGCATGATGTTGCCAAGTTGTTGCCCGCGCCGGCCACATTTCCGCGGGACTGCGCATTCAAGAATGTCAGTGAAGTTGACGGATCATGGACCGCCGCGGGCCGGCAGCACTGCAGCCCGCCTCGCCGGGTTACGGCATGGGGCAATATAATGGACATAGATTCGGATCGACTCATGATCTGGATCTAGACTTACGGTACTTATCGTTGGTGCGGGTTCCAGAGACCATGGCATTGAATGATACGGCGACTCGATCGACCAACTTGAGTAATTGAGGAAGAAATTCTTACTCTGGTCAACCAAGAGTGCCAGATCCCAGGCTGCTGCAGGAGGTAGATCAGCGCGGAAGGGCTTCCCCAGCCACATTGACTTTAGCCTGGCACGGCCACGATTGGTAAATTGAGATTGCACCGGGCAACTTGGCAAGCAACTCGATCTCGAATGCCGCTCAGTACTGAGATCTGTTCAGCAAACTGCCGTCAATTCGAGGCCATAGTACGTGTAGTTCGGGAAGGTCGGTTGCCTGCGTTCATTAATACCCTAACCTGCTCTAGCATCCTTTAGGTATACGGCTCCTTGATCCATCGAGCCCATGTACGACCTTACCATGCAAGCCTACTAAAGAGCGACATTAATGGCACGTTGAATGGAACCACTGATTGGTGGGAAGTGCTCCTTTGTGTGCGACCAGATTGACTGGTGGTGTGAAGCGTTGAAACATGTGGTTAGTCAAGGTACTCTTGACACACTTCCATTATGTTGTCATGCTCTTCGCCGCTTCCGTCGTGCTTGATGTCTTTGATGTGGTCGACCTGCAAGTAAAGAGAAGGAGAACGTCAGCAAGGAAACATTTTCTCAATGCCCGTCCTACAGTGCTCATGAGAGTAGGAACGAACAAACTCAAGACCGCCAAGTGTTGTACTTTTGTGGATATGGAGCACATGGTCCCGTTTGACTAGATTGTCCTTTAGTGGAGGGTTTGTTCACATGGGGAACAGATAAATGGGCGACGTTTGTCTGGTGACGCTAGGATCTTTAAATGGGTCATGATCAGATTGCGGACGGACGGAGGTGTGAGAATCTACCCAACTCTTTCCAGTTTATGAATAGCAAAGCAGGAGGCTTTCATCTACTTTGAACATCCAGTTTCTGTTCCTCAACTAAAAATATGGGGCTTTCGTTTAGGACAGTTGAGGTATTACTTCTTTGAAAGCTGACAATTGCTCCTCGTCCACACACCTGAAGCTGTCGGGTATGGGCGGACCAACTATGCTAAGAGAGGAGTTACGCCGCTCCATTCATTTGGACATCCAAGACTCGTGATGTAGACCCGAAACAAATGCAGCAGAAAAGCTGAAGTCTCGATTTCAGGTTGAGTTACAGCCAGGTTGAAATAGGTCAGTGCCCGGGTGGGATTAGTTTGAGAGTTAGGGTGGGTTTGGGTGCGGAGCGCATAGGTTGGTGTCTAGGACTTTAGTTTAGGTGCGTCCTCTTGTTTCCTGATTGTATTTCAACCTGCCTCAACTGGACCTGAAATTGAGAATATTCAAAAAAGCTCCAATGGTTTATGCATGAAGCATAAAATGATTGACGTGACGTTGCACACTCATAATCTCCCAAAACGAAGATGGCCTTCCTTCATTAGCTGGTTTCAAATGACCAAAGTGTTTGGGGAGTTAAATTTGGCAGCAGGGCAGCTCAGTAGAGCCACTGAGGTACGCACTTGTTCTGTGTCACTAGCGCTCGGCGATTTAGGTACCAGCCAGGAATGATGGACTTTGGGGAGACCCGATATCCTTCTCAAGTTACGTTGGACCCAAACATAAAGTTAGGACTGCAGCAGATTTCTCGTTTCATCTCTGATTGCCACGAACGCAAGTCCACCCCTGAATCAAAACCCTCAGTTTGGACCATTGATGGGCTCTCATTGAAGAACTGACACTAGCTCATCAGTCACGGGGGGACCGAATCTACAGCTGCAATGACTTGCTTGGCTCATACCTGATACACCTTCTTGTCGCCAATCCAGATTTGAACAACATTCTCAGTCTGGATCTTTTCCAGCATCACAGAGTAACCCAGCTTTTCCAGTTCCCCTTGCGTCCGCTCCAAGCGCTTCGAGGAGTGCCCCACGCCGCAGAACTCCGCTCCGCAGTCCTTGTAAGGCCCATACCTAATAACGACCTGCTTCTGGTCTCCCATTGAGCTCCTGGAGATGAACTCTCTCGATAAATTCTAAGAAGCTCCAGTTATAACACCGGGATGGGTGGGGTTAGTAAGGGGGTTTAGAATGGGCACGGGTGCGGAGCATGTAAGTGTTCGGGTTAAGGCTTTTTCTGTCAGCTTCGCTCTTATCGTAACTTGATCTAGTGTAATACTCTTGGGAGATGATTTGGGATGAAGGCTTCGTCTAGCGCACCCTGCAGCCTTGCTGCTCTGGTTCTCGATGCCTTGCTTCAGATTGCGTTTGCCGGAAGCCCCGGATGCAGCGTCTCGTTTTGAGTTTAATGCTGTTGCTTAAAGTGCGGCTCCTGCTAATAAGGCGTGATAAACTAAGTAGTACTGCGTTCTAAGTCAGGCTAGGCCCCCGGGGCTTATTGGTCTGGCTCTTTTCCAGCTCTTTTGTGATTGAATGACTGCCGAATGACCTATATTGCCTTCTTATCTCAGTTTGCGGCTGGTCTGGCGATTGTATAGTTCATGTCATGTATGCCCGTTGGAAGCCCAGGTGCTCTCCCCTACTCCTTGCTCGCTGGATTGACTTCTGCCGGGTTTGTGTGATTGCCTGGAAAGGGGCCGATTCACTTCAGCAGAGTGTACTTCGTGGGATACCCTCTCACAGTCCAACCAGACAAGCAACGCGCCCTTGAGCTGATTTGGCTTCGCTGTATCAGACAATTGAATGACAGCCTGTAAGCTTTGCAAGAGAGCGCCAACCAAATGGATGCTCACCGCGCGCTGGAGAGCAACTCACTGCATAGAACCAAGGCAGAAGAGCAATGGGGGTTCTGCACCTTACTAGGGCAGCTTCTTAACGAGGCATTGCTGTGAAACGTCTAGCGCTTGCAATCTGGTATTGGGGGAGTCACTTTGAAACTCCGTGGTCCTTGTTGGAAAGTGGAATGCTGCCGGCTCCGCTCCAAGATTCCTTTTGCGTGTACATTGTAACCGGCGGTACGTAGACGGCACGTACCGGTTCCTGGCAGGCCGCAGACGGTGGAGACGGCACCATTTTCTGCGCACTGGCTGCCGTTTCAAGAGTACCCGTCAAACTTTAATATGATCGAACAGAAAATGTATATACCGGTAACCGGCGGTACCCAGCGAAGCGCGGCCCTCAGGCCGACAGCAGGCTCCCAAGTTTCACATCGGCCCCGGCCGCTTCCGGCAGCTTGTCGGCGATCGGTGGCCTGCCGCCTACCGGTTCTCTCTACCGGTATTAAGCCGGCTCGTGTCACCATACACACTGTGAGTGGCTGAGCCTGAGATAGTGCGTATACTCAAAAGTACATTATGCAAGGCAGGCCGCTTCAGGCACTGAGTGCATCTTGTTTCCACCAGATTTGCTGAGCAACGACAGGCACTGCAACGATAAGATTGTAAGACGATGATCAGCTCCGAACTTAAACACGAGCCAATACATCAACATTTATTGTATATATATACTACAGTAGGCTCGAGTGCTCATTGGCCCAGCTAGCTGTGAGCCCGCTGTGTGCATTACACGTGCATTATAGCAGCCCATGATAGCCGCACTGACTCTCAATCAGTCCTTACACTGTGCACGAAAGCCCGAGGAGGTAGCCTGGGCAGCTGAAGGACTGAGTCCTGGAGTCCAGTGATCTAGTCCGACGGTCGATGGGCGCAATTATACAAGGCAGCTAATGGGTGCGTTCGTTGTTACTAACTACATTGACCATCCCGTTGTCAAAAAGCGCACTTTAACTAGGTACATTTCGGGGTCCCGAACTTTCCGCTGGCTGGGGCTGGCACCGTCCGATGAGTGCCACGTATAGGGACCGAGTCCAAGTCTGTCAGAATTGCACTTGTACACTGCGGCAGTACTTTCTCCGTCGAGTGTACTCGGAAAATTCAAGGTTACAAGAATTCACCGTCGGCAGGTTTATCCTAGCTGGCGGTACTAGCCGAAGGCTACCGCGCGGGCCGTACCGGGC